AAAAAACATGTTAGACAAAAAAAGAAAGAAAGAACGAAAGAAACAAAGAAAGAAAGAGACAGACAAACAGACAAACAGACAGACAGACAGATAGACAGACAAATTAGGAGACAGACAGACAGACGGACACACACACACACACACACACACACACACACACACACATACACACACACACACACACACATGTTGGACCATCAGACAACCTTTCATTCTGGTTCATCCACTTACAGACCAGACAGACAGACAGACAGATAAACAAACAGATAGACAGACAAACAGACAGACAGACAGACAGACAGACAAACAAACAAACAAACAAACAAACAAACAGACGGAGAGACATACAGACAAACAAACTGACTGACTGACTGACTGACTGAATGAATGAATGACCAGACAAGGCGACAGACAGACAAACTGACAAACAGACAGACGGATAGACAGACAGACAGACATACAAACCAGAGCAGACCGACAGACAGATGGACAGACAGACAGACAGACACAAAAGACGGAGCAGACAAACCACAGAACTACGTTGTGTTGTCCATGCATATCTTTGACCTATGCAGGATTTCTTCCTGCGGTAGAGATTCGTCAATGCAACATAGATGATGTTCAGCCATTCAACATTATTATTGTTCTTTCTTGTTTGAATAAGAGGGGAGGAAGCAGGATTCGGAATGACCTGTTTCTCTCTCTCTCCCCTCATGTTTAAACATTTCTTTTTGCAATTTGACGCCATTGAACTTTTTGCCGAGTGAACACTCCGAAATGAGTCAGGACCGCAACACAGAACAGACAGACAGACAGAGGGTGGGAAAGAGAGAAGCGTGTGCACACGTGGAAGAGGGAGAAGAGGGGTTGATGCTAACAAACCAAGCATATAAATTACAGGTCACTAGATGAAAGAATGTAGAGCCAGAGAAAGGAAATAGCAAACACACTTAGTATACACTCACATACGGATACTGTGATGGTTTGCGCACATGTCCACAACAACAGAACAGACAGACAATGAGACCTCCACCAAGCCCGTGGCAAGAAAAGCAACGACAACAACCCCTAATTCAACGAGTGGCCTACTTGTACCCAACTTCCGTAGACATACAACGCACCACGCACCTACAGACCTACACAACCGTCCGAACGGCAAACATCTACGAGCGCATTTTGGTAAAGATTCAAAGTACATGCATTCACATGGAAACCTACAGTAAGTGGACCGAAGGCTAGGACACACATTAGATAGACCTCCGGGTGCCTATGAGTCATCAGCAGGACGGAAACGAAAAAAAAGTACAAGGCTGAAAGACCTGGGACTACGAAAGTAGAGACAACTGGCAACAGGTTCCGCCGTTGGAGCCCACCGAAAG